GTTCGGCCAATCATCTGCATCACCCGTTAATGCAGTACGGTAACTCGCGTACGGATTTATTAAAGTCCGGTACGTAGCTTGATAACATATCCGGTAAATGGTCATGTATTCCTAGCATATGTTTTATATCAAAATGAAACTTTGATATTGTATCATGCCAGCGACTCAGTAATTGTGAGTCGGGTTTCATCCCCTTCATATATTGAAGAGATTTCTGATCACACATCAGCGTAAATGCTGTTCCGTATAAGTAATCTCGGAAGTGTGTTAGTGCTGCCACTATGGCTAATAGCTCTTGTTTAACAGTTGGATAATTCAACTGTGAAGCATTCATTGCTCGACTAAAGAATTGTATATATCTAGGTTTGTTATCTATAACCTGATATAATACTCCTCCTAAGCCTAAGTCGGAGGCGTCCGTTGCTATTTCAAACGGTACGCCATCGACTGGTACTTGTACAACAGGGGCTTGTTGGACTGCGTGCTTGAGCGCTTTAAATGCGTCATCACACACTTTAGTCCACAAGTCTCCTAATTTGCCTTTATGACATCTTAAGTGTCCAAAAGGTTTAAAGTAATCAGCCAAGTATGGTACTCCATCTGAAAAGAAGTTTACAAACCCACACATGCTGTTCACATCTCTTCCTGTAGTTGGTATTCACCAATCTAATAGGGTTTCTACCTTACCAGGGTTTAGCCTAAGAGCTGTATTTCGCTCATAGCGAAGTGACATTTCTTCTCGTTAATCTTGAAGTTTTGTTCGTCGAGTCTCTTAAGGACTCGTCTGACTAATGCGGCGTGTTCGCCCTTCGTTTTAGAAAAGATAACTATGTCACCTATATAGACTTGTACGTTAGGCATGTCTGCAAACATTTCCTCCATTACTTGTAGGAAGAATGCTGGTAAAGAGTGCAACCCGAAAGGTGCACCTCTGAACCTGTATTGTTTACCTTTCCACGTAAAACTAAAGTATTTACGATGTGGTTCATATACCTGCATTTGATGGTATCCTTGTGTAAGGTCTATAGTTGTAAATACTGTAGCACCTTCCATCCTTCGCAGTAGCTCGTTAATACGAGGTAGGTGAAAGCTATGAGTCGGCAAAAAATATATTTATTGGACTCATATCTAAACACACTCTGACTTTCTTAAACGATCCGTCAGAGTTATGTTGGTCTACAGCTAGCAATGCCAAGTTAACTGGCGTCTGTTGATAGTTAATTTCTATCACTCCATCTGCTAGCCATTTCTCAACTTGTTCTTTTACCACAGCCTCGTGTCTCCAGGATACATAGTTCCTTGAGGGACACTTCAACTGTGTAAAGTCCGCCTTGGTTAAGTCAAGGCTGACATATCCGTCGTTAAAACGGAATTTTGCCCAATCTGTGATCTTTATCTTCTTGTTAACTAGAATCAGATCCATGATTTTGTTCGCAAAGACAGTTATTAATGCCTTGACTGTGTCTGACGGGGACTTATATGGTTTCAGACAGTTATCGTCTGATTGATCCTTTAATGGATCTATGTTATTTGGTAAACCAGTCACGGTTATACCTAGAGTGAGTAAATCGCTCATTCCTACTATAATGTCGTACTTCTGTGACATATTCACTATCACAGCTTGGGTAGTGATACTCCTATCATCGGCTAACGAGACCTTAACATATGTTGCCATAGTTTTACACTTGGAGGTTTTCTCATCAGCTAAAATGAGGTGAGTTGTTTGTGTTCTCTTTTCGATATCTTTCATTAATGCAAAGCGATCGGATATACATGAAATTTCAGAACCAGGATCAATCAACGCAAGGATTTTATTTCCATTGCAATATACAGGGATTATTACACGCTCATCTAAAGAGTCGTTGTACTGTCTATGTAACGATTGTACCCGGTAGTACTGTCAGTCCAACTTAATGTCGGGTCTGTCGTTACACGATTTAGTGTGGTAGCCATTGGTCTTCTCACATTTATCGCATTTTGTAAGATAGTGTTTACAAGATTGGGCATGTTTTCCGTTCCAGTAACCGTTAGGTGTTAACTGGTACATGTTATTACCACTTTTCTCATCAACACATTTCTTAACTTGCGTGTATACAGGTCCCTTGTGCTCCGCACGCATTTTCTTAACAGGGCGTGTAAATTGAGTAGATTCACGTGGACGTGTATGTTGGGGTCTCTCGTTTGAGGTCTGCCTGGATACGTACCCTTGATCGGTCTGCTCCCGTGGTTTCTTAACAACCGTCTTCTACTGCGAGGTCATTCGCTTCTTAAGAGCGGCTAACTGTCTTAAGTTCAGTGTTCTCATCGATCAACTTACTTATGCGCGATGGCTAATTTGATTCTGATTCGGGTCGGCTCGCTGAGCTTTCCTTCTCATCCTCTCCCTTAAGCGGGTTGTATCCTTTCTCCGTAATTGGAGTTAGATCCTTCTGAGTGTTCTCATCAGGATTTAAAGCTTTGAAGCAGACGCAATAGTTGGCCCTCTGACCCTTTCTTCAGGGGACATCTCTTCTAATGGAGTGTCTTCACCCTTATCTGTTGTATTGTCCTGGTTTTTAATACCACTAGCAATGATTTCGGTTACGGATTGATTGTCCTCTTATGCGGTCGCGTTAAATGCGGCTGCAGCAGCGGCGTCTATCTCCATCTTCTTCTTTTCAGCTTTACGCTTCTTATAAGGAGTATTGTCTTTCTTGGTCATAATCTTAACTTATGACTGCTAGCTGGTCTCTTAAGGACTAGCTTCGACCGGAAAAATGTTGTGGTAGTTTTCTCCTTTACGTTTAAGTAGTCTAAGTAACTAACACCTTTGCTAACTTTAAATGTGTAAGATTCGGTCTATCAAGGCGATATTAACGCTTTAGAGTAATTAAACGCTTAGGTTAAGTCTATGTATCGTGGAATGCGAAGTAAATAAACGAAATGAGTCTTTTGGTAAAGTTAGGTCTGCCTCGTGAAAACAGCATTACTCTGAGGGATTGTGAAGCTGAGACATTGCCTATATATAATCCTCTCAGTACTGTTTTCGCCGAAGGGATTTTATTTAGTATTTCGTTGTCGCTCTATTAGAAACTATGGTATGTTTCGTTGGGGCGAATCTGAAAGACTCATAAAATCCTATCTTTAGAAAAAAAATAGAAAAAAGAAAAAGTAAATACTCTTGATGTCTTTTGTTATTATCTTAACCAATAACTTTCCACTTATCAAGAATTATCGACTTAGCCTTCGTCAGACTGGCACATCTGGTTGGCTGATCGGAGGTTAAACTGGGTAACGTTAATAGTCCCTAGAAACCTATATTCGGTTGAGCCATCTCGCTACCGAAGTATTCAGATATAAATAGATTTGGAATAAAATATAGTTCTATTAATAAAACTATTCCAAATCCTATCTTTGGCATTTTAATCGGGCCTTTTAATGGCCTTCATCCAGACATCTGATATGTAAAATGGAAAAGGTACTTTTAAATAGAACCGTTAAAAACCATTTGGTTCACGTACTATTAAGAGTACGTTTATAGTTTATGTACTGCTTAAGAGTACGTCTATAGAGCATGGTCAAATGTGGAGGCCCGGCTATTACAATCCAACGTGCTGTTTACTAAGAAGAACCCACATCCCCTCCATATATAGCTACTTTCCTTATCGACTCTGGTGCCATGATACATATCTTTAATCATACCGATGACATCACTGACTTAGAGCATAGTAAGTTTACCGTCGAGTTCCCCGAAAAATCTTAGGTTGTACTCACTCAACGCGACAGACACTTCACCAGGTCTAGACCCCGTCCTAATCATGCCTCAAACTCAACAAAATATCTTATCCGTCCGTTTACTGCAACGCCATGGTTTCAGCACCACCTTCCCCGTTCCCGCTACTGCTTCATCTCCTACTGAGTTTCACGTTACGGACCCCAACGGCACTGTCCGCATCATACCTGACACGAACGGCCAGTATCAACTATTTGGCCTCACTCCCACAACATTAACCGACTGGCACAAACGACTTGGTCGCACTCATCCACGCAAAGCCACCCCTACTCTAGTGCAAAACAACATCATAGATGTATATGTTAGCAAGAACTCCACTACTGACAGCTGGAGGCTTTACCTTATTATTTCAACAGCATGCTGTCGACTCTTTCGGCGCCGTTGACAAATATTTTCTTGCCTGTGCTAACAATGCACAGGTTTCTACTTATTGCAGTCTTGAGCCGGACGCTCCACTTCATGATGTCTACACCCAATCGTGGAACCAATCTCATGTTCACCTCACCAAGAAGCATTGGACGGCCACCCTCAGCCCACAAATAAGTGCTGCCAACGAGCACTCCTGCAATTACATTATCATGTGGAAGTCATTCACACGAACCCACCACCTTCCTCCGTAAAAGTCGTTGGTACTCCCAAATGGCGTTACATATGTGTAGCTCGCTTAGGTAATATCAAGCATGCCGTTCCCCCAACCGCAATCTCCTTACTGCCCACGAGGACGTCGTCGCCCACACTACTGACGCCTGTTTTTGCACCACCTGTGTGTCATGCAAAATGCGCCGCCGCCCCATCTCCAACACACTTAAAAACCCCGCTACCCGGCCACCAATCGGTACTGTCTTCCATGTTGATCTTGACACTGGCTTATCTTCCTCTGCTACCGGCTACACTTCCAACATCAAGTACGTCGACGCTGACAGCACCATGCTCTTTTCCTATCCTCCTAAATCCAAGAACGACGCTGCTGACACGCTCGACGTGTTTTTTACCGCCCTCGGCAAAGACAAACTCGCCACACTTACAGAATAAATTGTAAAAGGGAGGTGAATTCATCTCCTCCACCTTTATAGCCATCAATACCGCCGCCCATGTCAAGGTTCTCTACACGCCCACGAACTCTCCTGCCCTTCATGGTCTGGTTGAACGCATGAATGGCATGATCGCCGATCTCATGCGCGGCTTACTCCATCATTCCGGTCAGTCCATTGAACTGTGGCCAGAGTTTTTACACCATGCTACTCTCATCCAAAATGTTAGTCGCAACCACCGAAATCCTAACAGCAAATCTGCCTGGGAGGTCTTCTACGGCACCAAACCCAACATTCGCCTCCAACATATGCATGTCTATGGCAGCCAAGTCGCCCTTATCACTCAAGATACCCCAACCAAATTGCACGACCGCGCCACATTGGGCGTATACTTGGGTCATGACACGGACTCCAAGTATTATGATGAATGCCGCATTATGAACATTCACACCAAACCGTATTTGTCACTCCCGCAATGTTCAATTTAATAAACGTATCTTCCCTACCTGGTCGAAAGTTGGCACAGCACACTTGCCCTGATTCGTCACACCCCACACAGACATACCGACAATACGCTAATTAACACTCGCACTTTCACACCCCACCACTACTTCCCCATCCAACTCCTTCTCTACCGACTGTCGAGGAGAGTTCTCTCACCCACCATCTGACTCTCACACGACTTCCCCTCATGCCACCCCCCTCACATCCGGACACCAGCTCCTTCGTTTCCCCGGATATTCCTCAGCCCAGCCTTTTACATCATACTGACGTTCCTTCTGACACCGCCTCCCCGCCTCTTGAGTCCACTCTTAACGCTGACCTTCAATCCCATATCGCACACTTCGTGGCTTGCTCCTCCCCCGTACCATCAGTGGCCCACTAAACGCCCCTTCCTTAATCAACAACATGCGCATGACATGTCAACGTGCTCGTCAAATGCAAGAGCATAATGCGGCAATCTCGGACCAGCCTCACAGCTTCCACCAAATCGCTTCTTTGCCATCTAAACGCATTCACTGGTCTTCTGATATTGAGAATACTGGCATTATTCCTCCCACTCCATCCCCAGCCACCACCGCCGTCGTACCCCTCGACATTTCTCCTTCGAAATTCACTTTAAAGGCCAATCATGCATGTGCGTTACACCACCTTCGACGCACCAAAAGACAAAACAAAGTCGATAAAACTTTCCGCCGAGCTGCTATCATAAACGCACGCTCCTCCGCCAACAAAGCGCTTCATGTACTCAGTCACACCCGGCCTCGTCTCCTTACTGCTCCCGAACCCCCTGACGACATTCCTGCCCGCATCAATACCACTCCACCATCATCGTCCGACGTTCTACGCACTCGCAGCGCTAACATGTATCATGAAACTGTCGAGCACCTTTTTACCGTCTGTGCCGCCATCCAGGCCCACCCGCTTACTCCTAAGACTATTCGCGAGGCCCTCCGTAGTCCTGATGCTGACCTTTGGCGCGACGCTATCGACCGTGAACTAACTAGTCTCAATAAGAATGGAACATATGATCTCTGTTCTCCCGATGACGTACCCGATGACGCTTTCATCATTACCAGCAAATGGGTCTTCATAATCAAAATGATTGATGGACTTGTCGACAAATACAAAGCTCGCATATGCGCTCACGGCTTCACGCAAACCCAGGGCGTTAACCGACAAACCCTTTGCTTCGATCTGTTCTCATGAAACTCTCCGCACGGTCCTCGCCGTTTCTGCTACCCCGGGTTGGCATGTCGAGCAAATGGATGTCGACACTGTCTATCTTTATGCTGATCTTGATGAACCCATCTACATGTGGCCCCCACCCGGTTTCAGCGCTATTGGTCTTCCGGACCACTCCGTTCTTTCCTTGAAGAAAAGCCTTTATGGCTTAAACAATCTGGTCGTCTCTGACATGCCTTGATTAAATTCAAACTACTTGCCATGGGCTTCTCCCAAAGTGTCTCTGACCCATGCTTGTTCATTATCGACGAAGCTCACTTTTCTTGTATCATCCTCCTCTATGTCGATGATATCATTGTCTGCGGCAAACAAACAGCTGATGTCCAACACTTCAAAGATTTACTTCACAAAGAATTTAGTTGTAAAGATCTCGGCCGCCCCCACTGGCTTCTTGGTGTCCGTGTCCTCACCACCGACGACTCTATCAGCCTCGTCCAGGAAAACTACATTTCCGAGGCTCTCAGTATATTTACATCTCAGTGATACACACTCCGCGCCCACACCCGCCACGCTTTCCATCGTATCCATGAACGAAGGCCCGCGTCACCCGTGCTCCTATCGCGAACTCATCGGCACCCTTCAGCACCTTTCCGTTCTCACTCGCCCCGATATATCTTTTCCCCTCAACAACCTCGCCCGGTACATGGCTAATCCCTCTCTTGCTCACTGGACAGCGGCCGTCCGCATTCTTCGCTATTCGAAGGCTACGTTCAATTTCGGTTTAACCTATACATATCACCCCGGCGCCCCTATTGTTGACGCCTACGTCGACGCCAACTACAATGCTTGTCCTGACACCAGATGCCCCACCAGCGGTTATGTTCTTCGAATCAATGGCGTCCCTGACATTTGGAAATCCAAACGTCCGTTACCACCAGTACCACTGAGGCTGAATACTACGCAGTCTCCGAAGCCTCCAAAAGCATCCAATGGCTTCGCAATATCTTAAGTGAAATAGATTTCCCACAAACTATGCTTACTCCTCCTTATTGTGTCAACCGATCGACAATTCAGGTTATTGCCAATACTGGCACTAACAAACACGTTAAACATGTTGATATCCGTATCCATTATAAGATGTCATCGTTACTCAATATGTTAATACCCATGCTAACATCTCTATCATACTCACAAAAAACACACCTCATCCCACACATTCTCGTCACACCCTCTCCATGCTCGCTCCTGTCATCCTTCCCCCGACTCCATCGGAAACAATTTAGGGAAGAAACAGTCTACTGCATAAGCGAACTGTAGATTGTATCCTCCAAGATTCATGAAACACTACTGTTTTTAGAGAATCTTCTCAGCTACAATTATAGCTCGGTACATAAAGAAAAACTCTCACACGACAGGTGTCATAAGTGTCCAATATATTTGACACCCATGAGGTGTTTGGACTACAATAGGTCATATATATCTATGATTTACGTGTGAACACATATGAATATATTATCTGCATATAAAACCCTCTGTAGAGGTGTAAATGAAAATACTCTTAACTCAGCGTGTTATACGGTTCTATATGTTCAAACACGGACCTAAGGAAAAAAATTCAAGAGCGGACTAAGGGATCGGACGAGATAGTGGAATAGAGAATTTAATGAGAGAGAAGAATGGCTCATAGGGTGTCATCATAAGTTAGTAGCTAGGAGACGAAAATCATAGGTACGGTTATTTTCACAATCACCCGTTGTTAGAGAAAATCTCGCTCCACCTAAGAACGTGATGAATAAATATAGCAGACGCGCCGATCATAACGGCACTTCTGATTGACTTCACTTACTTCAGACTTAACACTCTTTACTAAGTGTACTCGGATTTAACCACAAACCTAGTCGTGAGATAGTCCAAAGGAAACATGGCAAAAAATAAATACTGGAGTGCATCTTTTGCTGTGGATGGAAGATCTCCAGTTGTTTGTCACTACCTCCCACGTTTTTAGTGTCTGATCCTCGTTCATCTAAGTCTACCTCACCCCAGTGCCATGTCTGCCCGTGTAGTGTGACAGGTTTGGTGCTGTCTCTGGGTATTTGTGTTCCACGTTCAAAGGCATTAGTACAACAATACTGGCGTCATTTACTGTTTGTATCTCATTGTTTATAAGAGTTGGAGCCAATACCAGGTTCTTGTCTGTAGGTTTTCCAGTTATGTTCGCAGTGCTGGTGACTGTAAGTGCATTATGTATACTAGAAGCAGGCGTGGGTAGTACATTCAGCGCTGGTAAGGTATTTGCTGATGCGTGTGTGTCCTCTGTGTTTGTATGTGTTCGTTGTTGTTGCTGATCACTGTTCTACGTATATTTCTGGTTTATGCTGTTGCTTACGTGTACTGTCTCCTGATTGACTACGCTTGCTAATTGTTGTGGTTCGATTAAGGCTAAATCTGTAGTAGCCAAAGCCTTCGCTCTATCTGCACGTTTTTGTTCTCTCAGCAAAAGTACACGTGGAGGTCCAGCGATTACGAGTGAATCGTCATCACCTGCATCCTCGTCATGTGACACTATTCTAAGTATCTGTGAACTAAACTTATTCTGCTTTGAGCTCTTGATGCCCTCAAGATTTGAAAAACAAACTGCTTCCACTGTTCTCTTATACACATTCGTTGACCCCGTACTCATCGACTTTTCTCGATCTGCCGACATCACGATGGTGGGTGTTAAGATCATATACCATCTACTACCAAAGCGTGCCTGAGCATAACGCTTGTCCATATAAAACCACTTGACATAAACAGTGTTCCTCACCACGACCCTCTTGGCCGATGCCAGGTCGTTCTTAGGTGCATTCACCATCGTTAAAACTACTTCTACAACACTAACTATACTAAAATCTATTGTGGGTGTACGTGTTCGGAAACAGGTCTGTTTGACATGTTCTAGTCGAGCTATTGACACACGGTGAGTAGGTAAAGTTTTATTATTATTACTTGATATATATATATATCATCAAATTCAGAAAAGGGCGATCTACCTCGCCGTTCCCAGCCCGAATGGGCTAAAAATTGCCAATTGTGCTATAGGGGAGAAATAGACAAGTCTAGGGAGCAAAGATCCTTAAGAACTGAAAAGCCCCCTGCAAGAAAGAGGGCTAAGGTATACATGCCAAACTGTATATGCGGTATAAAAGATTGCCTACAAGTTCAAAACGATGTAAATGATCGTATAATATCGCTACCTAAGTCGATCAGCCCTGACAATATTATTCACGTCTACGAAGCTGACACTGCAGCTAAAAAGTGGATGAAAGAATTGAGCCCAGGTATAACAGACACGAAGCTTGTAGTTGTACTCGCTAAAAGCGGTTGTTGTTAAAGAGGTTGAAAATCAATAGCAAGCATCAACATTTAAGACTGGTTGGAAGGTATTTGCTATATACGGTGCAATACCTT